GGGTGTGCCTTGAAACCGAGAAGATACGACAAAGGGGTTCTTTTTAGCGGTTAACGCGCAAACTTGTGTCTTCTTAGGGTTAAACAGGACTAGATTTAGTCGTCCCCAATCCGAGACTTTGTTCAGCAATGACTCGACTTCAGACACAAGTTTGTCCCGGTACTCGGAGACGTTTTCCTGAGAAATATTAGCACAGTTGGTGTACAGAGCATCACCAGTGCTGTCATCCGCATAGCAATGAATGTTACGGGCTTGCAACATATACTTGATATGCAGAAGAAACAGCGCTGATGATAGCACGCAACCTTGTGGAACGCCAGCATTAATTGGGTTTTAATCGGAGCTTGCACCGTCTACAACAACCTTGATACTCCGATCTGCAAGAAAACTGGTAATCTAAATGCACAATTTCTCGGAAAGCCCATAGGAAGGGAGCTTCGAAAGAAGCGCTATCTGCCAAACCCAATCGAAGGCCTTCGCAATGTCCAAACTAACGGCCAATGGGAAGCTTGGACTCTACCGTCTCCGCCCATCTATGAGTAAGGTAGACCAGAAGATCACCAGCTGATTGAACACGACGAAAACCGTATTGGCGATCATTAATCAGCTCACGACTCCCAAGGTACCTCATAAGCTGACAGTTTACAATGGACTCCATTGTTTTGGAGAACAAGGAGTTGATAGCGATGCGACTGTAGTTGGACGGGTCTGAGCGGTCGTATATTTTAGGGATCGGGTGGACGAAAGCCGTCTTCCATGATTTTGGGACTACGCTAGAACCGGGGCCAACTCTGGAGCACACGTCTTCTGCACAATTGGGGGGATTCCGTCAAGACCACTCGACTTGTGGATGTCCAGGGAGAGGAGTGTTTTGCAAAGTTCTTGCACTGTGTGAACCGCACATCTGGATGGCACTCACACCGCGGGATGAGTGTGTAGGTGTGCTCACCCCCTTAATGAAAGTTAGACGCAAAGAAAGAGCCTAGCAAAATCGGCTTTCTTCTTCGCGGCATGGGGCAGTGAATCGTCCTCCCTGTGCAGAGATGGAAGAGATGGCTGACAGAAGCTCCCTTGGACAGCCTTGGCGAGAGACCAGAATGCACGGGTTGCAGAAGGAAGGCGAGCACATAGGCCGAATTGGCGAGAAACTAGTATTCTCGCCAATTCGGCCTATGTCCTCTGACTTTGTCTTGGCAATGACACTTTTGAAGGACCTGGAGGCGGAATTATACTTCGTTTTTAGGGCACTGGTATTTAGATCCCGGGACGTTGATGCCTCAGCCCAGGCCCGGTAGTACTCCTGCTTATAGCATGATACTATTTTAAAGGAGCGACTAAACCATGGCTGAGATCTGCCTCCGATGGGCACCACAGAGAAAGGAATAAAAAATTCCATGCCCAAATCAGCGACAGAGTCAGCAAAAACGTTGCGAGAAGCAAACCCGCCACAAGGGTAGGATGCAAAGAAAGACCGCATCAGATTCTAATCGGCTGACTTATGGTGACAAACACGACGTCAGCCTGCAGAATGCAACTGCGATTTCAGTGTGAGTGGCACCACACTCCGGACAATACAATGTTTCGAAGAGAAAAAAGGGGCGTCAACGGAGACCTCATATCTGACCGAATGAGAGGTCAGCAGAAGGTCTAACAGGGACGGTGCATGGTCCTCTACATCTAGAATCCGCGTAGGCGAAGTAACCAGTTGTTACTTACAGAAGCAATATCATGAACAGTTTTCCCGGCATGATCGGTTAAACGTGAACCAAGCCAGGTATGCCATGTACAGGTCCGAAACTTCAAGACTGCCGAGGCTTCTAGAACAGATGTCCTCTCTGACGTATACGCAAACTCCAGCCCGAGGCACAAATGAGTGTTCCAGTTTGTACCCCGGGTAGATCTCTTCTACCTAGAGATACGAAGCATCAGCCGGAGAAGACACCTGCGGTCAGAAAGAGTAAAGCCGGCTTCGCCGTCTCGAAATGGTACCTAAAGAGAGTCCCCTGATATTGCAGAAATTCGCAGATAGCCTTCCGAAAGAAGGGGGTCGCCTTGGTCTTGTTGCTCAGCTTGCCCTGAGCAGTTTTTGTCTTGAGCGGAATTTGCCCGCCCCCCCCCCCTCCACCAGAATACGTGGGGCAGCCCGACAGCGAGGGATTCTTCAGGAGTGCTGGTACCCTCCTGGGATAGTTTGACATTTAATTCCGCCGCCATGTTGATGGGGGGGGGGGGGATTAGGCCTCCGGCCACATGCACTCACCAGTGTCCACTTCACGCCGGTACTCTGTGAGGTCGTGTTATAACCCGGTTTGAGCCGGCCCATACGTGCAACAGCAAAGCTGTCGCGTTGCTCTACCACTGTTAAAATGATGGATGTGATTACCTCTTTGTGATAATGACCACAATAAGATCGATAGCTTTCGCTGTGGTCGACATGGAGTAATTTCTGCTACAAAGATACAAAACAATTATGTTATCTTTTTTAATTAATTACCGATAATATTTAAAAAAAAGATTTATGATTCCATAATAAACGGGAATAAATTGATGTAGCATTTAATGATTTCAAACAATAACTGACAAAGGCATGAAATATAAAGTAATATAAGTCTTACATATGTATATGGAAGGATTGTAAAAATGCAGCATAAAGGACGGAACATAATTATAAATTCTCGTTTCGATATCGTTGAAACAACTCGTTCGTACTCGTATAGGGATGGAATGCGCACAACACACCCGCAATGAAAACAACGATGGTAACTTTTTCAAACCAAGGTTGGCTGACTCTTTCGATACAGATAGTATTGTTTGACATTTTCTGCTAGCCAACCATCGATCAGAGCCACCGGCCCGCGATCTCACTTGACATTTCATACTGACGCTTTCGAACGAGTTTCATGAACAATTACTGGATAACAGTAGTAATGACTATCGTAGAAACCGAAAAGGTAGTTGACTTGTTGATGTGTTTGATAGATCAAATAACTAATACGTAATATTTTTGAAGACCGCGTAATTAGTTGAAAAAGAAAACTAATGCCGCGCCGCCGTTCGATTATGTATTTAAACACTTTTAATATCCTATACCTTTAAACGAGCAATTCTTGTATATATATATATATATATATAATCGGAATCTCGGAATCGGCTCCAACGATTTTCATAAAATTTAGTGTCCAGGGGGTTTCAGTGTCAATAAATCGATCTAGCTAGGATTCATTTGTAGAAAATGTTGTTTTATCCATGTTTTCAGCCAATGAAAAACTGCTACAATATTGTTAGAATAAGAAGATAAATTTTGACAACGTATTAATGATTGTAATACCTCAAATGTGATATCGGACTGTCCTGAAATCATAGTACCCTGGTTCGAGTCCTGTCTTCGGTCCGACTTTTTTCCTTTTTTTTAAAGTTCCCTTCTTTTTTGAGAAAATCTATTATTTCGAGCCCTTTCTTTAGTATTTTTTAAAAACACGAAAATTTAAATTGTACTAATTGCACTCATGATTTTTTATTCAAATAACCAGTTCAGTTGTTTCTATTATGTCGGTGAGATCATAAATATTAGGTACCTATTCATATTTCATCAGTATGTAATTTGTATCTAAATATAATTTTCAAAACACACGATTTCAAAAAAAAAAATACCGAGCAAAGTTCGGTCATCCAGGTATTTAAGATAATTACCACAGTCTATTATACTGTGTAACTACTAAGAAATGCTATACACTCTTTGTCATTTATTTATTTAAACTTTATTAATCCTTACATCGGTTCAGGATCAAAAGGCGGAATTAACGTTAAAAGCATTTTCTGCCAGTTAACCTTAGGGCTTTGACTATAAAAGTAACTATAAAACTACGAAGGATCATTATCACTATTACAGCCCTTCACAATTCCTCTCACTCCATCCAGTGGGGGGTCGTCCTATACTACACCTACCGGTACGAGGCTGCCACTCGAGAACCTTTCTTCCCCATCGGTTATCGGTTATGTCGGTTAGCTATATGGCCGGCCCATTGCCACTTCAGCTTACTAATGTATATATATATATATATATATATATATATATATATATATATATACAAAACATATATCATACTCTCTCTCTCTTTGTTCTTGATTTTAAATTATATTGATTAAATTATAAAGAGTAGGTAGGTGTATAAATCATAAGAATATACAACCTGGTACAACCAGTGTGTGTTGGTAGTGATGACACATCATCTCAAATAGCTCAGCGAGCTATGAAGAGGGTTATGCTTGGAGTTTCTCTGACGGACTTAGATATGAGGATATCTACCGTAGAACCAGAGTAACCGTCATAACGAAACGGAGCTGAAGTGACAACGGGCTGACCATATATTTCGAAGTACCGACCACCGATGAAGAAGAAAAGTTCTTGAGTTGTAGTATCGTAACGGCAAGCGCAGTATAGGGCAGGCCCCATAGACACATTAGATAGAGTGACAATTTGGTAAGAGATGCAGGAAGTCGACGGGTGCAGGTGAATCTAGACTGTTATTTATGTTATTCCTTATGTAAGGACATTATACAACGGTGTTTGATGGGCTGTAATAACGATGATGATGATGGTGATACAAATCACTACTACGTTTTAAAATTATCTACCTACTTGTCACTGATGGATTTTGGGACTGACGAAAAAGGTGCTCTACATAAATAAGGGTGTCTAATTAAGTTTTGAGCTCGTAATGTCGTAATATAATATGTATTCATAATTACATGATCGTATTATGACCAATAATGACACATAAAATACAGGCCATAAGCATAATTTATATTCTATGTGTGTAAGTGACATATTTCAAATGTCATGAGTCCGAGACATTTAATTTAAAGGTTATAATTGGTTTTTAGAGATATTACATACACAACTGTTTTAATCAAGTTAAATTTAGAGCTAGGCATTAACGGAAATGATATACATCTACATATTGAATTGAATTGAAAAGAAAAGCAACATTGTGTCATGAATGCAAAATGTCAGGTTTGTAGCGATTAATATTATCCCTTTACGCTCATCCATTCTATTTATATATAAACACTCACGCCTGTCACCCAGAGGGGTAGGCAGAGACTACGGACTTCCATTTGGCACGATCCTGACATACCTCTTTCGGCTCCTTTACATCCATATATCTACGCATACATGCTCGTCGGTTAAGGGTACTTCTAACGTGGCCCATTTTCAAAATATCGCCAATTTGGTCGATAAACTTTTTCCTAGGGCGTCCCTTCCCGACTTGGCCATTCACATCTGCCATATAAATTTGCTTTGTCACTCTTTCCTCATTCATTCTTTCTACGTGACCATGTATTCTATTTCTATGTCCAACTAAGGTCATAAGCTATCCAACCCTAATTTAAGAATATAAATTCAATTTCAGGAAGTATCTGCAGCAACCGATACATTTGTTCACAGTTACGTCACCAAAAAAACAAGAAGAAAATGTAAGTGACATTAATAAGTAATACTTATAAAATAAAGGTGTAAGTTATTTGCGTAGAATTTAAAGTTTAAATTCATTTACCATAACTATGATTATATTAAATGGAAGTCCTAAATGTAAGTTTCGCTGGAGGCCGCTTTTTATATTTTATCTCTTTTATTAATTTATACTTTTCATATGAAATAAAATCAAATAGTTTATTTGTGATTCACAGGTTACAAAAACGTCTTAATTAAATACAAATAAAGTTTGGTCTGAGAACATACAAATGTCAAATATCATCCGTAGTTAATAGATTACATATTCATAATAATAGATTAAATTATAAGAAATGTTAAAGTAAAAATTATTAAATTATTAAAGTTATAATTTGTACAACTACTTCTTACACTCGTTGACTTATTCTCAGATTATCAAAAACTCTTCCTATATTCCAATTGTTATTTTAATTTTAACCCTTACCGTTACCGTTACAGCCTATCGAAAGTCCACGGCTGAACACAGATTGTCTTATAGGGGTGATATTCGGCTTAGATACCACGTTTCGCGAGTGGATTTGCTTGTTATAAGGAAAATGCTGCTGCCCTTAGGCTATGAGTTTTTCCCTCTGTCGGCTCTTACGACACCCACGGGATGGTATGGAGTAGTAGATATTCTCACACCGTCACTACACGGTCAAATACAATTTTAAATGATACTATAATTACATGGTGCTACGTGAAATTCGTATATATAATTGCGCGTTGGCGGACTTCACATATACATATTTTTATCTTCTCTTCTTATATATATATATATATATATATATATATATATGTGTGTGTGTGTGTAACGTAATTAACGCACACCCTCAGATACCCCAATTAGTATATTATGTTATAATCATAATACATACACTGAATTTTTAGTTCAACATTTATATGCACTGATTATTTATCAAATTTGTTATACTAATTCCGGAAGAATGTTGTGGTCACAGTTCAAATCCACGAACGTAAAGACTTTAACGTGCTTGAAATAAAGTTCATTTTTCTTTATTTTTATTGAATGACAGAATTAGTAATAATACAAATAAAACTGCAATCTTAAAAGTCTTATTGCCTTAAGTTACGGTCCATTTCAGTTTGTTTTGACTGTACAGATTTAGTGTGACTGTAATTTACGTAGGTTTAATTATTTTTAAGATAAAAAATTACCTATATTAAAAATGATAGGAATCGATTCAGTAAACGATTCTGAACAAACTACTTTCTCTAAGTGCGTTAACACTTACAGGTATTTGTATGACCTACAAGCAATTGTTCCGAGTCTGGATGTTTGTCCTTGTGCAATGTATGTATGTAAACTGCCTCCACGATACAGAAGAAAATCCTAGTGTGGGGTTAACGTTTTTTCTTTAAATTAATGAATAAATAGAATAAAATTTCTCAGACGTGGAGGTTTCGTCGCGATGTATTCCTTCACCGCTGAGCATATGGTAAATCAGCATTTAGCTTTAACATGTACTTAATAATCATCATCGTCATCATTACAGCCCTTCGCGATGAATGCTGGCGGCTCATTGCATCCACAGTCATCTGATGGGACTTGCAAGAAGTCAATGGATACAATTAAATAATATAAAGCACTTTAAATTCCGCTTCTATGCGTTATTTTAAAAATCTATATTTCATGAGAAATTTTCCTAGTTGATATACAGGTTGTCCTGTATTTAATATACAACCTTGAAATGGGTCATAAATATTATGCCAACACAAAAACATATAGTTTGTTTTTTTACAAAAAAAAAAAGTTTTATGAAAAAAAAACTTAAATAAAACATTTAATAGCAGTCATAAGAATTAATATTTATTATAGCAGTCATATATTATAATCGATTATATAGCTGATCTATTAGCCCATATGCGTTTGAATACCATTCATTCGATTACGATAAAACTTCGATGATGTCGTCGTTTTTGGAAATAAAATGTTTGTTTGTTCGTTCGTTTTTTATGTGTTCCTGTACCTTGCATCCGATTATGATGAAGCTTTCATTAGTTAGATGCGCGCAATGCGCGTGCTCGCGATCTAAGTACAGCACAAAAGCACCGTTTTATATTAATATTTATAACCTGTATGTAACGTAATGCGAGAAAAGCAGCGTCTTCAAAATGTTATTATAAGTGGGGAATAAAATTGACTGCTTATTCCATACAAGGTGTTTTTCAACAATTAGCAGACTAATGTTACCCTCTATTATGTATATGGTTTGTTTACGCGGGAGAAAAGATTATTTGGCACCAGAAGTGCAGCGTCGCGCGCCGATTTTCCCTTCAGTAATTCAGTAATTCAGTATTAGTCGGCCGGCTGCCGACGCGGGACGTTGAGCTCGCAACAGTCGCGTCCCTACTGTACACAGTACACTGTTTATTATTTACAATTACTGTCACATTCAAACCCTCAAGGAAAAGGACAACACTACGCCAACGCACTCACAAACGTACGTTCCACGTCGTACTTCCTAGCATTTACAAGCCGTCCATTGTTCTTATTAATTCGTTAGCCATCTAAATTCTATCTTCTGTTTTAACCTACATTCACGATAACACTTAATCTGTATTTTTACCACTAGTCGCTCTACATTGCCGTTGTTTTGCTAGCGTTTCAATGCATACTTCATTGATCATTGTTGTTGGGATTTAAAAAAAAACCTCGATCATGTTTGTTTATAAATTTTAATTGAATGATACCATATGGAACATAAAAAGTTTTAAGACAATAAATTTGGTTATAATTCATACCCATTACATAAATAATAACAAATAGACGTCACAGTTAGCTATACATACATAGTTCATACACTACAAGTTTTTTTTAAACCTCCCCTTACGTTTTTATTCTGTAGAAGAAATCATATTTAATTACAAATAGAGACATAACAGTCTGATGCGATGGTTTGTAATGTTTATTGACTATACTTTTAGTATTGTTTCTTAAGAGACTCGATAAAATGTATTTAATCATCCAACTATACGTAATGTAAAATATAATTATAATAATAATTATTATTATTATTATAAAAGTTTCATTGTATGTTCGTAAACTAAGTATCAAAAATACTAAAATGGTCTTACTCCTACAATCCTCATCGTCATTTAAATTAACCGCGTAAAACAGGGGCGTCAAACTCGATTTTTTTGTCGAATCATTTCCAAAAGTGAGGGTATGCTAACTGGCCAGGCTTAAAATTAATTTACCCAAGAAAAAATGATAAAATCGATTTTTAATTAGGAACTCAAGGTCAGGAAACGCGTAATTTAATAAGCGTACAAGTATGCCATCATCGAATTTTACTAAATATTATCGCATAAATAGGTAATTAATATATTTAAATAATCCACTGCGATTCGGGCCTGATATTTGACATGACTGGCGTAAGCTGCTCATGGTTTTCATCCACGGTTAAAAGACTTTGCCGAGCACGCTTGGCAGGCAAATTTTCTCGTACCTACTTCGATGATACCTGACGATTTAAATATTTTCATTGAGTGTAAATACGATATTTATTCAATCATTTCAAAGAATCTGAGATTATTTTGTCGCTATCAGGAATTCGGTGTAAAAATATCCAGTATCCCAGAGATGAGCAGCAGCATCTTCCTGATAACAATTCAAAATGATAAAAAAATGTGGTTGTCAACCCGCTTGCCGAGCGTGGCAACTATGGCAAAATCCCCCCCATTAGGAAATCTATGAGGGCCTATGTTCAGCAGTGGATTTTTATAGGCTGTAATGGATTGATGGATATAGTAATTTTAAGAGAAAACTTATTATTCATTAAATAATATTAATTTTAAAAGCGTGACAAACCTCAATAGTAAAAAGTAATTTCAAAATTGAGCCTTCATATTTACAAATAACTTCTGTCCAAGTCCAACCGTCTTGAAAATATACGATAAGTTCTATATAAAAAAATTAAAAACATCGCGAACATAATCTTTTAATATTTCGCGTCTTTGTCAGCCTGTTAAGATTTACGTCGACTGCTGGACTTGGGGTCCCTCTCAATGTAAGCATGATTTGAAATTGACATTCTTGACGGACGTACTGGCGATAGCAGTACCAGACCTTCCGAATAAGTGTCACGTTGTTTGTCCGCGATGGACTCCTAAACTACTTAACTGATTTTAATCAAATTTGCACACCGTGTGCAGTTTGGTCCAACTTGAGAGATAGGATAGTTTCTTTACCCATGAAAAAGCCACAATTTTTTTTGCGAATTTAAGGATTTTTAATAGGACATGACAGGGTTGTCCAAAAGGGTAGAACAACGTCTGTCTTGCAAGCTAGTATTAGAATATAAATATTACACAACAAGTGATTATACTAGCGCTTGATTCGTGTTTAGCTTAAAGTTTAATTATACTCAAACATTTGATGCGACATTATAATATGAAATTTTGAGTAACAGCCCTTTTCTATGTGCTTAAAGGGAATGAAAAAATAGTGATGGAACCTGCACGTCTTAGCAGTTAAATATTTCACGCCCATCAATTCTCACTTGATCGATCTAATTATACTGCAATAAATTTTTCCTATTTTACGAAATAGCTAAAATCCTGGCCTTAAACTGAGTCCTTCAGTGAGATGTATTTTTACATTGATGCTTAATTTTTTGCGATTAATTGCGATTAATTGCGAATTAATTGCGAATTGATGATTAATTTTTAAATATATTTTTAATATACTGGGAGAGGTCTACGTTTGCAAGATGGGCCTCTTCCAACAGGACTTTTACGGACTGATTAAAAAAAATTAACAGCTGATTTTCACCACTCGCTCAGATCAACTTCTGCCACTTTAACAATATGATTTCCAATGTTTGCACTTAATCCTTTTTAAGTTTTTTTATAATACTTACCATATTTATTAAGTGTATTCTAATTGTTCATTATTCGAATTGTAAATTAGAATACATTTAATAAATATGGTATAAAAATAAAAATTATTACATGAATATTTGATGTTCTTTGTATTATATTATATATTCGTAGCAAAAATATCTACAGCAGATTTCACTACCAGACAATTGTCAAAAACGGTGGGTAATCAAGCGCTCTCAAAACTTACTGTACCTTGCTAATTCATTTATTACAGCCCTTCTCAAGTCCACTGCTGAACATAAACCTGCCCCAAGGAATGCTATAAAGCACGGTCCTGAGCCACCTGCATCCATCGACTTCTTGCATGTCTTGCCAGGTCGTCACTCCATCTAGTGGGGAGCCGCTCTACACTTCGCCTACCGATACGAGGTTGACACTCGAGATCCTTGCTTCCCAATCGGTTGTCAGTTCTTAGAGCTATATGGCCGGCCCATTGCCACTTCAGCTTACTAATCCGTAACTTGCTCCACAGATTTAAATCCTATATCCTATACCTTTAAACGAGCAATTCCTGTATATATGTATATATAAATAAATATAGGAATCTCGGAAACGGCTCCAAAGATTTTCATGAAATTTAGTGTCCAGGGAGTATTGGGGGCAATAAATCGATCTAGCTAGAATTCATTTTTGGAAAATGTTTTTTATCGATGTTTTCAGGCAATGAAAAACTGCTACAATATCGTTAGAATACGAAGGTAAATTTTAATGATATGTTAAGGGTTATAATAGCTCAATTGGGATACCAGTGGTGCCGAAATCGTAGTAACCCTGGTTCGAGTCAGGATCTTTTCGGTCCGATTTTTCTCTTTTTTTTTCAAGTTTTCTTCTTTTGTGACAAAATCTATTATTTCGAGCCCTTTTTTAGTATTTAAAAAAAAAACGAAAAATGAAATGAAACTAATTGCACTCATGATTTTTTTATTTAAATAACCAGTTCAGTTTTTTCTATTATGTCGGTAAGATCTAAAAATATTATTAATGTTTCATCTGTATGTGATTTGTATCTAAATATAATTTCCGAAAAACACGATTTCCAAAAAAAAATACCGAGCAAAGTTCGGTCATCCAGGTACTTATAAATGGTTTTAATATATTTTATAACCCGGTAAACATTAAAAAAGGTTAACTTGGATGTATAGACAGAATACACTTTAATGAACAAAACACCGATATCAAATATATCTCGCAGATAAGTTCTTGTCTGGCGCTGTAAATGCAAGTATAACATCTTGTGTGCAGCGTATCGGATGGCGGAAGATGTGTCAGCGGAGTGCCTGTTCGAGAGACTCCGCGCGTTTCAGCTGCGCGCGCCCGACGCCACGGAGGCGGCTCGCAGTATCACTGCACGTATCAACTCACGGCTCACCTCGCACGGTACTTTAGATAACATTTAACTGAATAATTAGTCCTTTCATAATAATCTTTTCCAATGTCTTAAATGTTGGTCATCTTAAGACGACATCGAAAAAGTGGCTCCGGGCTAACTCCGTACTGATCCGAGTGAATACATAATTTCTATAAAAATTATACTATCATGTTTATGAACAAGCGAATTCAAGATAAAGACTTGAGTTTACTTATATCAAAATTCCACTTTCGTTAGTGGTGTCATAGTTGTATACTATTCGACGAAAGGAGGTGCATTTTTTCGCGGTGTCGCCTTAAGATTTTTAGAAAATATGTTTTAAGTTTATCAATGTAAATTTGTGTTATTGGATGTAGGTGAATAGTTCGACCACAGCTATATTATGTTTGCTATATGTACCAATTATATATTTCTGTCAACCAGTAAGTCTGATTAGTAGTGCTATTCAGCCTTGGGTTCTGGGGTCGGCTAGATCAAAGAAGAACCACAATCCAACGAAATGCTTTTCTTTTTATCATTGAAGACCTTTGATAGTCCACTACAGAATTCATAATTTTAGAATTATTTGCACGTGTGAATTGTTCTCACAGATTAGAGGTGTAAAGGTGCACTAAGTCTTGTTTCAAGGTTAACAGTTGACTAACTACGCTGCAAATCAGATTCAGCTGTTACTGATCACAAAGCATTAGTCAAGTGAGCGCCCGATGTAACTTACCACCAATTGCTAGCTACGAGTAATTAGTCTCTAACGGAACAAATCGTCGAACGAATATTGCATACCTGTCTATATACGACAAAAACTTCCACAACAGCTTTATACGTTGCATGACTTCTCCTTTTAAAATAGTATTGAGCTTAGGCGCTAACTCAAACAAACCGCCAGCTGCGAACTTCACGGCAGATGAGACCATACCATAAGATGGCTTTACAGACCGTTACTTGTATTGGAGCGTTCAATTACTACAAAGTACCAAATTTATTTTTGTTTGATTAATATAATGTTTTTGGTGCCAACACCGACTTAAAAAATATCGCACGATTTGAAATTAATCCACAAACAACATTTGTGTTAGTCTCAAAAATTTTTTCGCAGAGTATCTTTTGAAAGCAATTTGTCTTTATTCTTTTTTTTCTTTTTAATCACTAGACTTGCTATTTTGTTTGTGATAGCGTTTGTTCGAAAATAAAGTTTACGACGTAGATACTGTACGAACAGATTACTAGGTAAATGTTAAAATTAAATCACAAATAGCAGCTACTGTTACATAAACAAAGCAAAAGCGAACAATACAAAGGTTAAAATTAATTCGAATAATCGTTCAGCTATCCAGGATAACACAACCCAAACAGAGACTAAACACTTGCAACAACACCTGCTCGTATTCTATATGAAACTAAGGTAATAAATATTTCTAATATATTGATTTTAGATATTAACGCACACACGGACTCTAGTATGAGGAAAGTTTTTAAGCTATTGCATAGCTTCTATCGCGGGCCTTGAGCGCGGGGACCGAATTTATAATTCCGTAACGAAAAAAACCTCACGCTCCCCACTCCGACGGGCACGGAGGTGTGGCGTTGAAAGCCGTGCATCGTCTAACGTCGTTTCGGTTCGGCAGACTTCGGCACTCGGCAGACTTCGGCACGGTGTTTGTGTTCGTGCGACTAGACGTATGCGTGTACACTAGCTGCTAACTCAATGATAAAAATTCCTGAATAACCTACATGTATTGTAAGATATTAAAAATATTTTAAACAATATTAACTTCTCATTTATTCAATAAGAGAAAAAAATTTGTTTTCTTATCGGTCACCACGCTCAAAAAGTGTAACTTGATTTAATATCAAAGACTTAACTGCATAAATAAAATAAATAAATAATTATAATTGCATAAGTTGATAAAAATGCTATGCAATAGCTTTACCGGGGCAGTCACCGAGTGCCACACGTATTTTTTATTATTTTTGAAAAGGTTTCGGAATGCATTTAAACTTTTTGCATAAATAATGACGACGTGTATGTAGTATATTTGACCACTTCTCACCACAGCGACATATTTTGAATACAAAAATATATTATATCCACAAATTTATGTGCAAATTCAGACACAGTCACTCATAGCTTACGCGCATTTGATGTAACAATTATGTGATAAGATCGAAGGTAAGCTAGGATGTGTGGCCGTAGAAGGAAAAGGGGAGATCTCCCGCCGGGCAAGGTGTTATGCCCCGGGAGCGGCCAACGCTCCGTGTGATAGTTCGGAGCTGTTCTATATATACTGTTTATGATTCGGAATTTTGATTGCGTGATTTAGGCTTCGGTGTGTTTCGCTTGTGGCGCGACGACTGCGCCGCCACAGATGCACTGTCAGGGAAACGCAATGATGAGACATTGAAATAGAACTAGGAAGTTTTTTCCAACACTTTATCCTATTTATTTTTAAACTACAAGTCCACCTCCATTATATCACTATGCAACATACATTTTAGTTCTTAGAGGTGACAAAGCACTTGTAGTCTAATAATTTCTTATATTTCCACGAATACTACATCTCTATATTCATAGAATACTATAATACACAGTAGAATGGCTGTCAACCTTATTTTGTACGAATATAGGTGTCGCCGGGAGCACACATACAAGCAATTACGTCGTATTATCACTACTACCAACCCGATTCGCTGTGTTGACAGACAGATTTTAATACGTATTTATTTGTAAATAGCGTGCAATTTGGCATTTTCTAAGTAATTTAGATGCGAAATTCGGAAACGATTGTAACGTCAAAATACATTTCGTGTTGACATTTATACGTGTGAATTGACGTGTTAGTGACATTTTAGACACGGGCTCCGCCCACTCCCCCGTTCTATTATGTATGTATTATACTATTCTATGTCTACATTATATAAAAATCAAGTGCTGTCCGTTAGTCTCATTAAAACTTGAAGCTGGCTGGACCGATTCTGATAAATTATTTGTGTGTTTGAATGGGTCCCTGGACGGTTTAAAAACTTCGAGATATAGAAATCAGCCGTGTGAAGCAGGGGCGGATCGCTAGTGTTAAATAAAACTAATTTTATTGATTTTTTGCGTATATTTTAGTAAATGAAGTTAAATCGAAATACAAACATTCCCTCTACTTCCTTCTCTGACCACGTCATGGGTGCCGTAAGTCATCCGAAACGTTGTTAATTAAAAATAAAGTCTGTCATATTAACAATTTGAAGAAGTAGAATGCTGTTGTGGTTGACCTGCAGTAGCCAATTACGATCAGGGTGGGCTGATGGCTGTATTTCTGCATTAGTATTTTTGCCATAATGTTGGCCCCAACTACTGAAAACTAGCTACTCATCCCTTAGCTCTGATGACTGCTTACCACTGGTATACTGCTATAATATAAAAAATTGATACAAAACAACATTTATTGTGTGCTTTATATATTATTATGTTATTAACATAGAAAATTAGTATGCCTTTTCACACGACAAAAACTTTTACAATATTTTCTGTGAATTTACAGGGTTATCCCGTTTTTCCACCCTAAAATCGCGTGTTCGTTTATCCACCCCGTCTAGAAATTCGTATATTATGTTTCATCCGATTTTTCCCCTCGGCTGTGTACAGTCGTTAAAAAAACATGATAGAAACTGGCCCAAGATTACTTAGTATACATTAGTATACTTATAAAAATGCATACATGCTTCTTGTTAAACGCACGCATTGGTAGTCGCGTTGGTGATCCATAAACATTTTAGCACCAATGAGTCGGTGCTATTTTGTTTGTCGTTTTGGGGCTCATTTTCGGTCACAGCGACCAGTCTCAACGGAGACTGCCATCTGCGCAGGACAGGATTGCAGAGCCCGAGTGTATGCGCAAGCACAAATGCACTCTCTATTACCTGTGTCTCCAAATGCTGCTACCATCGATATATATGTACTACGCACTAGATTTGACATACCGAACACTCACTATGTTCAATTGAACTGTACTGTAATCCGTACACCTGTTATTATGGCTTCGTTATTATTGATATATTCATGCAGTGCGGAGCGGCGCTAATTATAATAATTTTATATTAAATTAGCACATATGCAAAATAAACGAAAATTAAAAAAAATATACTCGATTAACGATTACGATCTAAATAGACAATTATTTACTATGAAAATTTTCGCGCGTTTATATCAACTGCGCATGCGCATTCAACGCGCATGTGCGGATACAGAGTAGTGCACATTTTTTGTTTGGAATAACTTCTCTAGTACGTAGTACATATAACTCAATGGCTGCTACTTAAAATTTCTTGACAGAAACACCCAATAATTGATTTAGGTCCGACCCTGGTTTCGAACCCGGGACCCCGTGATTGGCAACCGCATTTATGACCACTAAACCAAAAAGGCAGTCGAAGATATGAATAAGAAATATAGAAAAACATAATTTTAGCAAGTTTATTAAAACAACTTCGTCCTTAAATTGTGCCACTTTTAAAAGCCTTAAATAGTGTTAAACTGACAGTTTAACGGGGTAAAGTTGAAAAACAAATACGGTTTAAAACTGTATAATGCTTTGTCAACTTCTGAAATTAAATAATGTGATGATTTGTAGCAGACGGCACCGGAGAGAATTTTGGAAGTATTCGCTTGCTAAAGCGGTTAGTTTTAAATATGTGTAATAAGATCAAAAGATCGAGAAACAGCAAAAATAGGATACATTAATTATTTTGTTCAATCAGACAGCTACAAGTCCTTGGATGATATTAAAATATTTGAACGTACAGCTACGAATGACACGCGAGTTTAGCGAGTTAAATTGTGAAAACGTTTAATAATATTTAAAAGAGGAAAGAAGATACGAGTTCCTAAATGATTTCTCACAACTCGAATCATAGCTGTGAAAAATCTAGCACACTATAACAATGCTTGTAATCTGCTAGAAGTACCTGTACCGGAGTGTCTTGTTGAAATGCTGTGTCTTCGCATGTGGTCGTGGCATTAGAG